CGATTGATCTGTTTATTATATTACATTGTCCTTACGGTTTTTGAACAAGTTTCAAAATCTAACTTGGTGATGATTTCTTTGCGTAATTTCTTTTGGTCTTCTTAAACTAATTACTTAAATAAACTCACTTTAATTTGATTCGATAAATCATTATTGTACCGGCGTACATATTGAACTCTGTACACAGGTAAATATAAAATATGCAGCCCGGTAATCATGAAACGGCAAGAAAGAACGAGAAGATGGCGATAATCATGCAAGTACATCGGGATTAAAAATATAATAATAAAGGCCCCGAGCCGCTGCCGCACTCATCCGCGGGTGTGCGGCGATCGATTTATAACGATTATACCCGATGTCCGATGACATTAGATTTGTACGAAAGTTTATAATAATGCAAGCTGCGCCACATACAGCTGATATCTTCTTTTTCTTCGCTCGAGTAATCAGATAATAATTAGCTGAGAGAGAGATAGAGATATAGTCGATTGCCAGTGCGAGCTTTACACACACTCACACACGCAAAAGAGAGCAGAAAGAAGAAAAAAACATTGTGTCCAAGCTTTACGACGACGACGCCAGCGCGGCTTATCTCGCTTAATGCATCGAAGCAACAAAACAAAGAGACAAATAAAAGATGCAATTCATCGTGCACGCGACTCGAGCTATATTAAATACTGGATATAAAATATCGCATTCGTATATACATGCGAGTTCTTCGCGATGACATTGTGAATTTGACATAATACACGAGAGTTTTTCGCGAAGCTCATTAACGAGCGATTTCTGGAAAGAAGAAGAAAAAAAACTTATGGACGATATTTACGCATGGCATCGGACGCCGTAGCAATGACGGCTCGCAATAAGCCCTGCTGCCACACACACGTATACGAGATTACGAGAAGTGCGTGCGCATATCGCACGCAGCATCGCTATCGAAATATATCCCAACGACGCGACGCCTCCCCCATGATGCGGAGGGCACATGCGCGCGTATTTATACACTGCACATATATATATAGGAGGCCGTTAGCTCCGCCCTCCTCTTAACGAATCAGCCGACACCGTCGCCGCTGTGTTATATTATGTAGTATAATACAGATCGCATTGGAGGCGCCGGGCGTGGAAGCCACATCGCGCGCGCAGCTATATACAATATGGGCTATGTATATATAGTTATACGGCGCGGATTTTATGACACTGTAAACAGCGAGAGAGTATATAGTGGGTGATACCGAAATGAAAACTACGATGGCGAATTGTATCTCTCGAGAGTCGTTATATTGTCGTCCGCTCGCAATCCCTTTGACCAATGATATTTACCCGACTCGTGCGATGTTTACGTTGTCTAATTCGTGCATAAAAATAATACGTGCTAAATTTACGGCCGATCTTTTTTCTTTTCACTTCGGCGTCGTGTCTTTTATTGCCCGCGACAATTGTATCGGGTGGTAACGCTTGCTTATATACAATATATATATTGCGCTTTTCGCGTGTACACCTCGACTCGACGCATACGTAATGTGCTGTGCAAAAAAAAAAGAAGAATTGAGAAAAAACGCGTTGAATAATCAACGCGTCAACGAAGGCGAAGAAAAAAAAAGAAGTCAAGCTCTTCGCTATAATACACGAAATCACGCTCTCGGCTCTGCGTGGCTAAAAGGTCGCGTCGAGAGTCGTGTGTGCGATGAATCACAAGATATACGCGCTAATATCCGAGTGTGTGTGTGTACTCGGCAGCAATCGGGCTGCTCGCTAATTGAGAGCTCCAAAGGGGTAATATCGCACCGCAGCAATCGAGTGTCGTCTATATAATATACACTGTGCCATTGCGAGCGATGCGCGCTGGTGAAACGACGCGAAGAATTTCGGAGCGTTTCGGAAAAACCGCAGCCGCAACGGCAACGGTTAAATGCGTTATTAACGAACGTCGTGGTGTATACAAAAAAAAAAAAAAAAAAAAACACCTCACGCACACACGCGCGTGTTTACTGCTGTTACAGTACTTTCACCGGGTCCGATGTATACATACGTGCACACGGACACGCAAAAGGCTCTCATATGTAGTGTATATAAGGAATATTGCATCGCGCGGATCGTGTCACGAGCCGTGCACTAAAAACACAACACGGGCCAACGACGACGACAACAACAACTCGCTCGCGCACTGGCGAGTGCATAGTTGCACACACACACACATATGAGCAGCAATTAAGTTTCGTCGAAAAGAAGTGTGCAACTGTCCGGCTGCTATTATAGCACGTATAAGCCAGCTCGCGCGCGTGCGAAAAGAGAACCTTCTCTCGCGCTCTCGAGTCAAGAGCGAAGCGAACGAATTGCAGTTTTTATATACACGTATACAACACACTTATAAAGTCGGAAAAAATGAAGAAAAAGCGCCCAGAGAGAGAGAGAGAGAGAGAGAGAGAGAACTCATCATTGACGTGAAAAAGGAAGGAATAATACGGAGCTTGATACCGGTCTGACGGTCTCTCTCTCGGAGGAGCGCCTATATACTATATACCAGACTTTACGTGTTTCGCGCGAAAGGGCGGCTTCTCTCTCTCCCTCTCTCCCTCCCGTGTACATACGATGAGCATCGGTACATCTCGTCGTCCTCAGCAGCTCGTCAGAGATCGTCGTAATATTATCGTATATACGTACAGATATCTACCTGCCGCGCGTATATAACGTACGAACTTGCGCGAATAGAAAGTTATATTTCTCGACTTGATTTCCTGCCCGCGTACATACACACACACACACAGACACACACACAAATGAATAAAATGTTTATATGCTGCAGAGCGCAGAGATATAGGTACCCGCGTGCGTAAATAAGCTGCGCTATATACGTGTGTGTGTGCAGCAGTAACGCTTGCAACCTTTCTTTTTTCGAACGATGCACGTACGGCACTACGGAATTTGCCTTATTATAATATCCAGGCGGTCTGGTTCTTGTTCTTGTTTTTTCCTCTATTTTTTTTTACAAGTTTTTTTTGCAGTTCCGTTGTATACGATAAAAGCGTAGAATTCTTTGCATTTGCGCGCGTTCCCAAGATTTGCGGTTATTTCAGCCCAAAATTACGGGTCTCGCGGCGATTGATTAGGCAGATTTTTTTCTCTCTCTGTCTCTTTTATTTTTTTTTTTCGCTGACGAGACAAACATTCTCTCCGGGGAACGAATAAAAAAAAATTCAAATCGCTCAAACGGGTTAGAGTTATTCAAAAATACGCACGAAGAAGTTTTTGTCATTGTCAGCGCGCGCACATATTATACCCTATAGCTCGCACGGAATAAAAATAATATATGAGCAAAAAAATTGAATCATTCGCGATTACGAAATCTTTGGGCCGTGTTCGCGATCGATTGTATTAATTGGTCGACGTCGTTGTCGCCGTCGTCTGGAGATGAGATTCCGGCCTCACGTTTATGAGTACCGAAGTTCGAGCATGACGTTTAAAAATGCAAAATCTACGCGTCCGCGGTGCAAAAGTATAAGAGAGAAACATTTTATGAAAGATTTTTTTTTTTTCAAGTTCGGTAAGACATTGTTATTCTATGACCCATTGCCGGCCAAGCGCGAGCCAGCGCCATAGCGACTGCCAAAGCCGTTGTCCATAAATTATTCAAGGAATTGTGCAATATACATACACATTTATATATTCGTTAGTGTCTGCCCGTGTGTGTACGCTCGAGGACTCGAGATGTCATTCTAAAAGCATCGTACGACTTTAACACGTCGAATTTCGTGCAAGCTAATGTATTATTTATTTCCATATATAATATTATATTATAAATTTCTTCAACTGTACGCGTCACCGTAACGAAACACAAACGTCGCGCGAAATACTATTTTATTTATTAAAATTATTAATTAATCGATTCTCTGAAAATTCGCGAAATCATCGCATTGAAAATAAGCTGCGATGAAATTGACCCGAGATCGTCGAGATATTCCCAGATGATCGAATGTCAGGGATAAGGTCGCGGATGCCTCGAAGCGAGAGATCGCATCGAAAATAAAAAAAAAAAAAAACGAAAGAATTGTCAGTTCACGAAGATTCGTATCGATCATAAAAGCCCCCCAGAAATCTGTGCGTTATATTGCAATAATCATCGCAATGTTCATCGAAAATCGCTCGAATCTAACGACGATATCTGTCACACGGAATAACAGCAGTACAATAGTCTCTCGGATTTTCGTATTTTAATTCGATTCGGTGAGCTCGAGTATTAAAAAAAAAAACATACTAAAACTACGGACAACGATAGAATGAATTATCCAAAACTCGATCGAAACTACTTTAATTTCTCTCGATTCTTTTTTACGAGCTACGCAATATGATAATCGAAATAACGGCTACTCGGGTTCGATCGTTAAAAAAAAAAAATTGTAACGGATGCCGAGACATACTCGTATTTTCTCGACATATGGCTCGAGAAAAATTTGACCTGTCCGCGCGCTCAAAATTCTTTTGAAGAAACATCCACACATCGACTCGGACACACACGTGCGGATAGAATCGACAGGATGGATCAGAAGACGCATCTTTCGAGGCATTAATAAGCAATAACTATTATCCGAAATCTCGTATTATATGTGTGAGAGGATGCAATGAGGTTTGAGGTACATAAAAGCTGACACACGATCGTCGCTTTAATAATATTTCACTAATGCACAAAAAGCAGGCGCCCACACACGAACCTGACACTTTGCGCTCATACGCTGAGAATATAATAGACCGAGAGAGAGCTTTCGAGCGATAACAATGAAACTTTAACGAGAGACAATGTTACATTATATCGATGAGCACGAATATTTCGTCCCATAAAGCGCGTCTGCTCGTGTTTAAGTTTTCCAGTAACAGAACGATTTTCCATCCGTCGTTTCTGGCGTACACACAGAGGAAATTCCGGAAAATTCCACGAGCTACGCGTTCACTGCGTTCACTTAAAACTATGGTAAATAATAGAGAATTTCGAGGGGGTCACTCACCTTGTTCTGGAGCGCGTCGACGAGCACGTAACTGAGCAGGGTGATCTCCTCCTCGTCGGAGCCCAGCGCGTTGCCCTGCTGGCCCGCGGTGGCCACGTACAGGGCCACCAGATGGGTCGGGCCCAGCGCGGCGGCCGAGGCAGCCGCCACCGCCGTCGAGCAGTTCTGGTTGCCACTGACACTTGTGTTATTGTTGTTGTTGTTATTGTTGTTGTTGTTGTTACTGCTGCCGCTGTTGTTGTTGTTGTTGATGTTATTCATCGTTATCGGGCCGTTGCCACTGCCAGCGATAATCGACTGCTGCTGCTGGGGCTGCTGCTGTTGTTGCTGTTGCGGGCCTCCCATTATAGCGCCCGTCACTTGCATCTTGTATACTTTATAGCGCGCCGCAGATCCGCCGCAGAAATTCCCGATTTCGTTTCCTCGAAATGCGAGAGTGAGAGAGAGAGCAGTTTGGCTTCTGGACTTCTATCCCGACGCACTCTGTTTTCACGTATTTATATTATGGTTATATGTTATGTTTTACTCGCTTTAAATGCCTATACTATACACGTAAGATATAACGATATTATGCCGCGCGACGCGAGTTTGTTGTTATTTCAACCGAGGCTGACGACGCACGAAAGCACAGTAGTGGCAGTAGCGAACAACAATAGCGCGAATTTCTCGCTCGACCGTGTCAGAGTATCGTTAAACGTGCAACAAACTAAATTAATGATCAAAATTTATAACGAAACAAAAGCACGCGCGCATTAAAACAATTAAAACTTCTCTTTCTCGTTGTTGTATATAGCTGCACTGCACCACACGTATGAAAAATAATCGACTTGTTTACGGATTATTATTACTCGTTTCGGTATTATTACAATATCTCATTATCGCACTTTATACTACCGAAGCACTACTAAGACGACACGACGACGACGACGACGAGGTAGAAAGGAGAACGTACCCTTGCTTCCTGCTGCTTTCTTTCCTTGTCCAGGTAACGACGAGCTGCGAGCGGCAATAAGCGCAGCTTTGAGGTTATGCTCATATCACACACCTATAGCACAGCACACACACACATGTGTATAGGTAAGGCCGCTGCTAACATGTAGTGGTACATTCACACAGGTAGTTGCTATGTATATATACAAACACGAGCGTGTATATATTCTGGCTGGTCCTCTCGCACTTCTGTTTGCTACCGGGCGCTACCACACAAGCGAGAGACTATATCGTGTACCGTACCGATATATATTATTATTTATTATAAATAAAAACCCGGCACCACTGCTGGATAACGACGATCGATGATGATGCACCACAGAATAAACACACGGGGCACTAAACGCACAGACACACTGCAGGTATAAGGTATGTAGGAGACACACGCGGGCCAGCGGCGGCCACGGGGATGCACTTTTATATATTTTATATATATATTTTATTTTATTTCGTCGAAATTGATACGAGACAGACGCGTTCTCGTACGTACGCGATCGTACGTATCAGAGCGGTATGTTGTATAGAGTCGGAGCTCTGCTGTGTGCGTTTCCACACTCCTGCGCTGCTCGGCTCGCTCGCTCGCTCGCGTTGCGTGTTGTTGGTGTTTCGCGTGTGTACTGAATACACGACTGCTCGGCGCGCGGGTAAAAGGTGCCTCGGCTCGAGAGACGAGAGAGAGACTGACTCGAGCTGGCTCGCAGCACACCGACACACACACACACACGACTTTCCCGACGAGCTGCGTTGCGCCGCTTACCTGTGTGTAGAGCGGGAGAGAGAGAGAGAATACGAGTAGCGAGAAAAGAGAGAGAGGGAGCTCGTACGTATCGGTATGTGTGCATATAGGTGTATATACGTGTGCTGCACGAGAAGGAGGAATCCAAGTGCTCTTATAAGCCAGCAGCAGCGGCGCAGGGTATATTACGATTCGAGTTTCCGACGACTCGGAGCAGCAGCAGCAGCGAGCCGGAGAAATCGGTCTCTGTGCCTTTCTATCTATTACAAATTCTACGTGTATTTCGTGTGTCTGTCTGTGTGTGACTGTGTATATATATGCGTGCACACGTCGGAGATACCAATATACGTTTACGTGTGTGTGTGAGCAGCGCTCGCTCACCTGGCGGCTGGCAGCGGCGACTGCGCAACGTCGACTGTGCGCACCGCAATGTATATATAAGCTGGTGTGCCTGCCTGTGTACATGACGGAGCGAACGGACTATAACTCCGTAATACATAGATGTATATAAAATAATAACGCCGCTCGGTCGTGACAGCGACGAGCTTTCGCGATACCATATATAAAAGCTCGCGCAGCTACTCGCACCTGTTGAAAGTTTATATACAGCGAGCGAAGCTGCAGTTGTCGAATATTTACCCAAATCGGTCGATAAAAGGCCCTGCGCTGCATATGGGTGAAAGCTACTACTCCCCTGTCGTACGTGTCCATAATTACGTATGTGTGAATAAAACATGGTGTTGCATATATGGGTACGTAGTATATGTATACTTTGGTCAGTGCCTGCGTCGTATAGTTGGTGGTGTCGCTTTCATTCACACGCACCGACCGACCGACCGCGTGAATAATCACACTATACTCTCAGCAGCTGACAGAGAAAGAGAGAGAGTGAGAAAAGCGTAATATATGTAGTAGACTCGGTGTAAATATACATACGAGTAAAGTGCAGACCCCCCCGCGAACGTAAACGTGAACGCACGACTCATTCATGCCGTACGTATACACGCATATAAAGAAAGTGTATATATGTGTAGCTGCACGAGATTGTGTGTAAGAGGCAGCAGCAGGTGCATCGTTTCGAATATCTGTAGCATAGTATAGTGTGAAGCGTCTCCTACTACTAACTACTCCCTTTCGCCGCCGCACTGAAACACAACGTTTCCCCCGCACACAACTCCGCGCAAGGCATAACGTCATCGAGCTTGCCTCAACTTTATATACAGCTCAGCAACAGGTGTATACACTTGTATGTATATTCGCAAGCTTATTGTAGCGTGTCCTTTATAGTTAAAGCTGGCGCTGTGACGGCGGTGGCGGCTCCCTGGAATTCTTTATACCTACATACAGACAGCAAATACATCACCAGCGTTATAATATCTCTCTGCCAGGCTTACCTATACATATGTGTGCAGTATGCAGCAGCATAGTCTAAAAAGAGACTTTACTCTTTACCGTTATCGCGACTCGATGTTGCCGCCGCCACCGCTGCTTTTTACACTTTTTATCCCTCTCTCTCTCTCTCTCTCTCCCACCCCGTGCGGACGAGCTATACACATTCTCGACGCGCTCGGCAGCTAGCATAGGGCTCCCTTTCTTCCTTCCTCTCGTTTCTCTCTTTCCTAATTCTCTCCGCTTGTGTGCAGCCGCGCACCAAGGATGATGTTTCGATGAGAGAGTATATAAGTATAGTTGTAGTAGTTGTAGTAGTAGTAGAATCTCCGCGCCGACGAGATTTTTTCCCTCCTCCTCCTCATCTTCTTTTTTTTACTTCGTGTATTATATACCACCGGCCGACGAACTCTCGTCGGCAGCGCAGCGGTGCTTTTTATTTTTCCTCATAAATTGCCTCCCCCCCCCCCCTTCGCTTTATATTAATATTTACACAAAATATATACGTGCACTTCTCTTTATAGGAGGAAAAGCTGGGCTCGCTTCGGCTAGCGTTCTCCCTACATACGATCGCTTCTTTTTCCCTATATTTATTGCGCGGCTTACACACGGTGCACGCGCGCGGAAAACTTTGTGTCGAGTGACACAGCAATAGCTCCCGCCCCTCTCGATGTGTACGTATCGTGTATCGAAAATCGTGCACTATATAGACGCCGCGTCGTTGATCTCTCTCTCCAATAAAAGAGAAAAAAACTTGTCTCGTGCTTCTCGTGCGTGTACTCCGCGGCGCGGCCATATGGACAATTCGATCGCGGCACAGCGTCGAACAATAATCGGACAATAATCGGACACTGTTTTGCTACCGTTGTCGTCGTTGACGGTGGGCACATGTGTTCATCTGCACATGTACGTTGGACAAAATGTGTGCGTGTGTAAGACGACGCCGTAATTGCGGAGCTTTTATTCGTCCCGGAATATGTCAGCTGCATATATGGTTCAAACGCACGTGCAAAAAAGCTGGCGCACGGATATCGAGGCAAGAACGAAAGAAGATCCGTTATATTATTTATGATCGCGGGGTAATCGTATATATCTTCGACGCGCAAGCTCGACGCGAATAGAAGGAAAGAAAGTCGAGCGCCGCTCGATATCCGCGCGTCAACGCGCAACGCGATCGTTATTATTATTATTTTACAGCGAGAGGAAAGAGAAACTGACCGAGTCTAAGCTTCTTACGGATGGTATGTGTTCTTGCCTGTGTTATCGAAGAGGGAGGGAGCAAAAGGGCCTCTATACAAAGGGGGGAGAGGAAGAAGCTCGAGAACCTGCCAAGCCTCGCAACGAATCGAGCGGAATAGGAATTCGATATATAGCATTCCTCGAGTCGACTCGCGAGCAGTCGCGCGCGCAGCGAGTCCCTCTTTAATACACGTTCGTCGAGATTATGTGTATCTTCTTCTTCTTACTTCTCTAATACTCTCTCTCTCTCTCTGGCAGTCTCGAGGCAGCTCACTCGGCTCGCGAGAAAGACTTTTCTCTCTCTCTCTTTCTCTTCTCTTTCCCTCTCGTTCCCACTTGCTGTATATACACGATCTCGCGCGCACCGCGAGGTCGTTGAGCTTGAGAACAGGTAGAGAGACAGAAGAGATCGGCGCATTTATGAGTGCAGCGGCAGCGGCAGCAGCAAGGGAAAGGCTCTCACATGCCCGCGGCTTGCACTCGACGCAGGTATACATACATACATACTATGGCTGTATATATGCGGCGCCTGCCTGTGCCACGGGGATTCTGCGCGCAGGCACACGAGTATTAACGATCGCCCGGCAAAGGCATGCGAGAGAGAGAGAGAGTCGATGTTCTTTACTCAGCGTTACTGCGAGTATATTTCAGAGATCAGCTGTGCGTGCAGTGCGAGATGATTCCGTCGTTGAAACTTTTAAGCTGCCATCTCTTCGTTAAATTTCGATAACGCGCCGTGGTATCGAGTTAATATACGGAGAAAACGCGACGCCGTGATAATGACGCTTAAAAGGCATCCCTATACACAACTAACGCAATGCTCGGATCTCGTATAATATAGAGGCTTAACTAGCGTGAACTGTATAAATTACGGCCGCTAAATGATCCCTAGGCCGCGCGCGTGTAATTATACGCCGAGTATACCGAGTGCAGCAGCTATATTATAACTGCACACACAAACGTAAGCCGCCGTGCAACTTTTAAGCTCGCGCGAGCAATTATAACGCAGTCGATCGGAGTAAAGGTAGGTACGGCGCGAGCAACGAGCCGCGCAAGGAAGGAAGTAAAACGCGAGGAAGGAAGGAAGGATGGAAGGAAGGAAGAAAGAAAGGAATTTTTCCAGGCGGAGAATTAATCATCGATGAGTATATAACACGGTATTTTATACCACGAGAGACGAGAAAATGCGAGGATAATCGTATCTATACCGATTTTTCCATCGAATAACCGATTGTAAAAGCACACGAACTGTCGTATGAAGGATCGTACGTCGATGAACGTAGCAATAGTAGTGTAGTAAAGCAATACACGCGCGCAAGCTCGCACACGCGGGGCGCGTACTTATACAAGTCAGCGAAGGAAGACTGCGGTTTTTCGTGAAAATAAAATATCTCGAATACCGACTATGGTCGATCTGCTCTTGGCATCGTTTTATTTCCCCCCACCGAGATCGCGACTTTGGCGAGGGATCCGCGAATCGGGCCTCTATCGCGACTCCAATTTCAAGCTGCGGACTGCCGCTCGCTCGACCATCGTCGACAAAGTCTCGAGAAAAGAGGAGGATACTCGAGCTGGAGCGTAATATACAGCGACGCCACGACGATCGTGAAATTTTTGCGACGAGTTCAAATTGATCCACAGCGACGACGACGACAACCACTACCACCACCAAGATTATAACGTAGCGGAGGAGTTGGCGATCGAAGCGAGAAAAAAAAGTACAGAGAGCTTTGCGCCGCATGAATCCGTGCCGAGAAACTCGCGAGAGTATTTGTCCACGCGGCTGCGGGCGCTGGATCCTTTCTGAAAACTCGTACACTGTATCGATCGCCAGATAGTCGAGATCTGCGAAACCGATCGTCGAAAATCTAACGAACGAGGATCCATTCGATATTTGCTTGGGCGCGATATGCGTTGCTATCGTCCAAATTTCAAACGAATGAATTCATTAAAAAAAGATCGCGGCTGCTCATTTTTGCGCAGAGACTCGCGACGAATTCGACATACCGTCGCAGCTTCTCACCTCCCCCGCGCCCAACAGCGCTCGATCTCTAATTTTTTTTCTTTTTTTCGACTTCGCTCTCGTGGTGTTGCGCACACGAGTTCGATATATCCACCGTACTATAATATATATATAAAGGTATATTTATGCTATAATACACATGGCTAATTTAGCTCGCAGCCGAGCACCTGACTGTGGACTGTATATATACCTACATGTATACGGGCGTGCACGAATATGTATACGGACAGAGAGAAAGAGAAGCGGCTCAGAGCCAAGAGAGAGAGAGAGAGATATTATATATATACGTTGGATTTATACGTCAGGACGTTAACCCCGCATTACATATACACGTGTACTACGTATAATACGGGAAAGCAGCGGACCGACTGTGTGTATATTATACACTTGGCGCGATCATCAAGGCCGCGACTCGTGCGTTTTTATACGTGAAATATCGTATATTGGCATACATCTTCTCTTTTCTGAATCTACGTGGGGAGAGGGGAATTTATTAGCGAGTTTTGGTCACAGAAATTTATATATATTTCGGACTCATCGAAAATTTACAAGCTTTACATAGACTCGTGTGGAAGCACCTGCTACTCGCGCCGATTCGAAGGCTCGCTCGCTCGGTGCGTTTATAAAATATCGAAAGGCGATTGCCAGTCGATCTCGACGAAATTATTTGTTGTTGTTGTTGTTATTATTATTGGCAAGAAGATGAGCGAAAGCTTGAGCATATCCTATACATCTTTGGCGAATTTCGAGACTGCTGCAGGACTCGCTCGGTCTCCGATAGGAACCGCGCATATTATGGAAAAACTTCCATGTCGTGCATCTATGTAGCCGCGCGCGGAAAGCAAATGATACTATAAATGATACACTACCCTTTTTCGTTTTCGAATTATTATAACTACTCGCATACATCATGATTTTCTATCGTCCATCTTATACGATATATATACCATAACGATGTGCGAACCAAGTTTGAAGATACATAAATCGTCTCGCGGCTGATGTGCACTAGAAAGCGGAAAGTTCCCAGAACGAATTTTGCTGCTGCAGCCACGTATCGTCGACTTCGGGCGCATTTCTCGTATACATACTCGACTGCTCTCCTCATCCACGTTGTTGTTGTTGTTGTTGTTGTTTGCTTTTTCTTTTTTTTTTTTTTTTTTTCACAAGNGAACTGCGGCGGTTAGCGCGTCATCCTTATTATACATTTTTTTCCTTTTTTTTTTTTTAACGAAATGCGTGCGCGCGGCTGGCTGAGTGGCTTCGTGTTTACGTGCGCACGTATGTGTGTGTGTGAGACTGCGCAAACACATTACACCGTACACGCTCACACACACACACACACACACACACACACTCTATAGTTGTTTGCTCGACTGAATTTCTTTACTTCGTTTTTTTTCCTTGGCTTTCTGGATTTATTTACGTATGGGTGTATACGCTGAATGTGGATAAAAATTTGCGCTTCGATCGGCGCATCTCCTTTCGCGCGACGACGATGATCCGCGGAGCTTATATAGTGGCGAAATTTTTTATCCGTGCGAGCGTGAAATCTCGTCCTCGGTTTGTATCAGAAATGACACTCCATTAATTGGCGATCGATTTTCTTATACGTTTTGCAAGTATATGTACAATACAAAGTATTAAAATCCGTCGATCGATCGATCGATCGATCCGAGGCACTACGTCTATATCTTGTCATTTATTGTTGTTGTTGTTGCCTTTTGTCGATCGACGATCGACTTTACGCAAAGCCGCATCGCCGCCGCACAATCGAGCGATAAGCGAAAATATTCAGCTGAGCTCACGACTCCATCATCTCTACATATAAAAAAAAAAAAAAAACATTACATTTATTATTTACATTGCACCTTGTGTTGTACGATGCAGCGCAGCTCTCGGCATAATATAATACGTGTAATCTAGCTGGCCGCGCGAGAGCTGCTCGCGCTTGGCTAATGAGATTTTTTGCACTTTTTGCGCCTCGTCTTCGCGCGCGCGCAAAAAGTAACGGTTGCTGCTGCTGCGATATCGCGACAACGGCGACAAAAAATCCGCAGCTCGCAATTTGCATGTTGGCTCGTCGTCGTCGTCGTCGTCGTCGTATATACATGTGTATCTCATCTCTCATTTTCTCGACTCGACGCGACCCCTTCTTTGAGGCTTGCAAAATTGTTCATTATATATTATAGGATACGGCGACGCGACGCAACCTTGTGGCAGAGAAATACACGTGTCGCGCGACTGTCGCGTACGTAGGATTGTAATATAAGCGAGAATCATCAACATTATTACGTATATGTAAAGGCGACACATGCGCACACGGAGTCACGTTATGTTATTATCAACCGAGTGGTAGTGCACGTCTGCACACACGCAAAAATCTTAGCCGAAATTGAAAGAAAAAAAGGTCGACGGCGGCGGCGGCTTCGGTTTAAACTCGCTCGAGCTCGCGAGCCTTATTCCTTTACCAAGCCTTAATTATCAATTAAATCTAATTGGAAGTGGTGTATATATAATGCAAGATACGCACGGAAAATGTGTGCATTTAGCGCTATGTCTGTGTCTGTGTGTGTGTGCAATTCTGCTGCTGCTTCTGCCGCGCGCTGCTCGCTCTGATTATAAAACTTAATTGAGAAACGTATACGTTGGATTTATTTAATTTTTTTTTCAGTGTCCTCGCGCGCGCACCGACGAGGAAAAATTCGCCCGATTCGCTCCACAAACGGAGCTAGTAGCTGTTAGGCGCGCTCGGGTCAAATTTGTCCGCGCCGGTGTATCGTAACGCAAAAAAAAGCTCGATAACGAGACGCTGCTCCCCGACCGCGAGACAAAAAGCACGTAAAATTCGCGATCGTTCGGCGGAATTGAGATGTGTGTGTGTGTGTGTGTGCGCGAGACGAAATCGAGCGTATCATCTTTCGCCACTCACGGACTCGTACATTATGCACATAAGGGATCGAGAAACGTACGGATCGTTGCGTAACATCCTGCGCGCGAGCATGAAGATATCGACGGCCGCGCGACGTCCGAGAATTCGCCTTCACCTGTATATATACGCTACCACTGCTACACCAATGTGGTGCCGTATTATATAGCCGAGCCGAGCGAGATGTTCAACCGGTTCGTGTGTAATTCTCATCGTCTCTTTCTCTCGCATATGTGGATAATATTGTCGGAGCACTCGTGCGCCCGTGTTAAGAGGCGCAGCCCATTTCTTTCTTCATTTGTCGCGGTAGGTTCCCTCGAGTTATTTACAAAAATGAATCACTTTACGTTTTTTTTTTTGTTTTCATGCGTAACACACTTTATTATAGCATGTAAAGCTTTAAATTTGTAAGAATTATCGTTTCTCCTATGTACATTTGATCGTTTTAACGGATTTAGTTTCTCCATTGCAAATAGCCTAACAAAATTATCCACTATAATGTATCTCATGAGAATATTGGTTTAAACAAAAACATATTATTTCTTATGACGCACAATTAAATTTAGAGCTTGGGCAACAATTCATGTTCTCTTATTATTTTTTGTACATCCGATAGTTTAGAAATTACAAAACAAAGACAATTTCCTTTTATCGCTATTTAATTCAAAATGGTATTTTGAATACTTAAAGATTTGAACACGTTAGATTTTCAAGCTAGTCAAAATATTAATAAAAGTAAAAAAAAAATAGATCTAACAATACTGAAAAATTTCATTTAGTATTTTTATATGCACCGTTAATTATTTGTATTCTTCGAATTGCTTTAAAATATTTTCTGGTAACCCATATGTATTAATTTTAGGCATTATTGATCTCCTCATATTATTCCTCAAAGTTTCATGTGTACGGTGGGTTAAATACTGTAAAAAAAATGTCATGTATTCATCCAATTTTAATAAAATTATCATTCAATAAAATTATCCATAATACGTACCCCACATTTTCCCATATCTTTATAAATTTTTCCTCCTTTGATTTTATCTATCACATTGAATTTGATTATGAATGCAAGCATAATTCTTTGCTCGAACAAGTTCAATGAATATCTGTAAAGATATAAAATTGATTATATAATTACTCTAAACATAATATTATTAAAATTTAATCAAGTTATTTTACTGTGGTTTCCCATGTGATCTATGTATTTCTGGTGAAAAAGTACATAGATCTTGTTTACATCTAGCATTTTCGGGTATATCTTGACTAATCCACCATTTGGAACTGAAAATATAATATGTTCGTTCTATGTATTATAATATATTATAATATATTTCTTCTTAAAAAAATATCAATACCTATTCTCAATAAAACGTTCTTCATCATTACTACCAATACTTTCAATGCTATCATCACCACCATTATTTTCAATACTATCATCATCACTCTTGCTTATAGTTCTATTATTTGTGATACTATTGTGCCTAAGTCTTGCCTCTGATTCCAAACTCTCGCTTATGTTTTCAACATTTATGCTATGATTATTTATGCTTCCATTGGGTGTAAGTTTTATTTTAGATTCAATAGAAATAGATGAATCATTTGAAGCAGGTATGATATCTTCTTCTTCACTAGAACTACTATCAATTTTCAATCTCTTGTGTGGTTTTTGAGTAAATTTTTCTTGCTGTTCTTCCTGCAGGAGTTGTTGAAAACTTCGTTTATTTGTTTTTTCTTCAGCTTGTTTTTTTACACTTTCAAATCTGTGGGAATAAATTAATGATAACTTACTGAAAAAAGATTACGAGAAAAATTCAAGAAAAAGTTAAATACCTGTATAAGTCTATTGGTAACGGCTTTCTAGCTTCTATCGAATGAAGGAGATATAAGATTTTATACATTCGTGTAACATTGAGTAAATTGTTATCATTTTTTGTAGATTTGAGAAGTTTTACAACATGATCTCTAGTAGTAAGTGCATAACCACTTTGATTGGAAACTTTTCCTCCAAGATCCTTGAAATAATTGTTTACAAAAATAAAACTCCCATAATTTAATGTGAGAAGTAAATTGTTATATGAAGTTTTAAATCTATTACCGTAACTATCTTTCGGTACCTTTCTTCAATTTCTGGTGTCAATCCCAACAATTGAAATTCGTAACCTTTAAATATTTTTGGGAAGTGAACGTCAGTCCTATCAGGGATGGAGTCAGTCATGACTAAAATTTGAACTATCAAAACAAGAGTAAACTTTTGAATTTCACAATCATCACAGAAACTAATTGAAAGATAACCGTTAAACCAGCGGCGTCTCAAGTGTAATCAAATGTGCTGCTGTATACAAACATCGATGGACTATAAATATTTGTTTTTTATCCGCGCTAGATAATAAAATAGCAGCCTACAAAATTTTAGCGAAAAATGACTCGTACAGGACTCGTTAGTCGTCGGTGGCGCTGCGAGTCAAAACATTACCGGCTTTTTGCCGGTGCTGTTCAAGCCTGTCTGCGACCTATGTATACATACGTCCGTTCGTATGTATGTGTGCGCGCGCGTATGTGTGAATGTGAATCGCATAGCAAAATCGAGAGAACGGGACGGTAACTTGCGTTGACTTAAATTGTATTTGTTGCCGATTGTACCAACGATGAAGCCCTCTTTTTATCATCTTCAACTGAAGATTTATACTTAATTTATTAATAATAGAGATTTAGTTACTTTATAATAAACAAAAGCATTTTCTCCACGAGGAAGCTATTTGCCAATGGACTGGCAGCGGGGTTTAAATATGATGTTTACAATAAGCGCTCATTGATGACATTGAATTTCATATCAGTTAGTGAGAAAAAGGGAACGATGCACTCAAATGTTATAATGCGGTTATTGTATTTTTTTATTTGGAAGATTTGTTAGAGAAGCGATAAGATTACTTTTGTAAAAAAATATTCTGTAGGTGCAGAAACTATCTTAATCATTAATTATAGAGAATAAATCAATGTTTTAACGTTATCTGCAGCATTGAAATAAGAACTTTGATTTTTCGGGTTGAAAATAAAATAATTATGTAGTTACATTACTCTGAATATTATGAGTGTTGGTTGTAAGTTGTTTAGGTAACGCAAATAGAGGAAAACGAAGATTTAATGAATTGAATAGTAATGTCTTTTTCTATTCTCAAAGGAGCAGGTAAATATGATACTCGCCATTTAGAGATCGACGAGGCGTTTCCTCGACGCTCGAGTAGAATAAGATGGATTCACCGTCGTTCTCGCTGCTGATTCGATTGTTTTACTCATTTATTTTTTTCATTTTTCGATGCAATATAAAAAAGATATCGTGCACGCAAGGATCCGGAGTGTTTTTTTTTTTTTTTCATAACGTTCGACGGTGAGCTTTACGCGTGTCTTGCACAATTCACGAATTAGCGTATCACGTTGGATGCAAAAAAAAACACATAACACGCACGCTCACGACTTGATGAAAATTTACGATCGCTACAGAGCGTCGTGTACGCATCATGCGTTCGAGCTATTTGTCATCGTCGTAATTTTTTTTTTCTTTCCTAAAATTTCAAGTCACTATTTATGTACGCGCGAGCCTCGAATATGCCAATTAAAATCTAATCAAGCTCTCTCCCGTTGCCATTATAAATCGGTAATGCAACATTACATTTGAAGCTGCTCTTGTCTTGGGACAATGGGGCACGATTGATTCGCCGCGCGCGGAAAGGCTTTATTAATGGATCGTCATTGCGACTGGAGAAAAATTGATTATCCCGATGCGGAGGTGCGTTGATGTGTTGTCGTGCGCATGCCGTATTATAGGATGACACAGCAGCAGCAGCAGCTAGACACATACGAAGCTTTTTTTGTCGTCGTCGTTCGACTTTACGATGCACACACACACGTAGAGACGAGTCGACGATGAAAAGGAAAAAAAAAATAAGAAGAAGAATGAGGAGAGAGAAAAAAATTAACGTCGTAAAACTGCAAGGACTATATATATATCGCTGCGGCAAATACCTACATCGTAAAATTATGTTTTTCGCGGTCGTCCTCTAATGCATCGCGCGTCGCAATTCATATTATACACAACGAATGCAATGGCATTGTTGATCGGTAAATGGCGCGAGCTTCTTCAATTAGGGATGTGTGAGATTACATTGAGAATCGAGTCGCTTCAAGGCCGATTCCTGAAAAAGAAAAGAAAAATATTTAAGAATCTCATTATGATTCTCATTTCAGTGGATCTGCGATTGATAATTTTTTTTTCATCAAGAGCACTTGAAGATTAAGAGATGTGTGCCATTTTTTTATAAACAAAAATGATCTTTCAAAGTTTTTAATCTACAGCTTAGAACGCAGAATCGTTTTTGATATTTTTCTGTAACTATATATACAGGAGCGAGCTTACGAAAGTTGACTGCGCGTCGAACGTGAAAAACATTTGCACCAGCAAATATCCTAACCTTTTACCTTCTAGATAGAGTCAATATTTCTCGTTATTTCACAGAAAATGTACACCACTCGTGCGTGATACTTATCTGAAAAAAATCGCAAAGGAAGATTGCGCATTAACGAATAAGGAGTAAGAACTCAGTGGTCAGCTAAACTAGAAAAAAGTGTCCTTTCGATTACTCTTACTGATTTTGACTTTTCCAATAGTCAGTTGTAACTGTCAAAAAATCGTCGTAGACACATACAGTCCAACGGTTAGTGTTTGTGATCCAAGTGACTTAGAAAAATGTCGAGCGTCAATAAAGCCACAGGCTATACGCTAATTGATCGGGAAGATTACGACTTTACGTGGATAATTGAAAATGTACAATTTTTACCATTCAAACAAGGTGAACTTTTAGTATCGCCGATATTTAGTACCAAATGCGATGTAAAATTTTACTTTCGATTGATCGATGAACTTCAACGTGGTCTTGATTCTAGTTCATTGGTTAGAAATTTATATCTACACTACAAAAACGCAGTGAACGAGTTCAAATGCGACTACGACGCATATGTTACTGTGGATAGGAGAAAGGTCATGCCGATATGTGGTAGTGCAATTATTGAAGTAAATAAAGATATCGCCATTATGTTGGTAAATGGTTATCATTCATCTATATTACACAGTACGGCGGAGACTATAACTGTTGATTGCAACTTGAAATTATCGAGGGGAAATGTAACATCGTTTCTAAACTCCGGACCAATAGTTAATGACGCTACGGCAACGATACCGAAACTGAAATTCGACTGGGTATTTCTTGATAAAAATTTGAGTGATGTAAAGTTACAAACTGCATCTGGAAAGGATATTCCAACGCATAGGGTCGTGCTCGCTGCTGCTAGTCCTGTATTCAAAGCCATGTTCAGCCACGATATGTTGGAAAACAAAAGTCAATCGGTTAATATGACGGATATTGGTTATGAGACAGCAGTTGAGATGCTACGATTCATCTACACGGGTAGTGTCGAAAAAGAAGAAGTTTCTTTCATTATTGATCTTCTGATGGCCGCTGACAAATATCAACTCGAAGAGTTGCAAAGAAAGTGCGAAGAAATATTGAGCAGGAATTTATCTACTAAGAACGCCATAGATATTCTAAAAATTGCCGATAAATGTAGCATGAAAAATTTGAAAAAGAACGCAATTAATTTTATGAAACTGCACATCCACCGATCTCCGGACTCCGACGATGTGGGCGACATGCTTCTCGGTATGGAACGATTTTTTTCAAAATGATGCGATAGATGATTTGCATACATTTTTAAATTTTAATCGAATTTTAATTATTTATTGTTCGCTTGCGTTCGAAAACATGATGTATCGCTCTTCCGATTAAAATAAAATCGCCTATGTACGAGAACACGTCTATTCATTTTTCAAATATATCAAAATCCAACGGGCCTTTCCTTCAAACATAAACACAGCAGATCGGTCCAAAGACCTGCGCATCAATAACAACAACAAATAAACGTGGTACGTAGCACATCAATTAAATATCGAATCTGCTCAGTCCAGGCCTATTCGTGCGCGGCATTCGAGTCTTTCTCTCTGTCTGAAAACTACTTTTGAGCTTTTTTAACGGTGTACAATGTCGAACGTCAAGAAATTCACAACCCACTCATACGTTGATACAAAAGACTATAATTATTTGTGGGTAATAGAAGATTTTATCTTAATTCGTGAAAAGGATCGTGGCTACGTGAATTCGACCTTATTTGCTACCGATGAAATGGAGTTTCAATTGATATTCGAGACGAGGTATTATAGTTCAGGAAAATATTCAGATTATTCAACGTTACATATATCCAGTTCATCCAATTTGAACAAAAATTTACCTTGTACATACAAAATATCAGTTATGAAGGACGACGCGAGTGTTTTCACCAAAACGGATACCTACCAAATAACCACGAAGGAGGGCTTAGAAGAAATTTTCGCGATTCCCACCCTCGAAATGAATAAATTTATTTCGTCAACGGGTACTATGGTCGTTCACTGCGAATTGAAAGTTGCCACGGGAGAGGAAGAGAATTCTGCTAACTACGAAGGCGACGACGCGAACGAAGGCCTTTCACCGAAACATAATTTCGATTGGATATTTCTCGAGAAAGAACTGAGCGATGTTACGCTAAAAACTGCAGATGGAAAGAAAATCCCAGCGCATAGAGTCGTGCTCGCTAGTGCCAGTTCAGTATTCAGAACCATGTTCAAACGCGAAAAGGGCGGAAACAAATCTCAATCAGTTGATATGGTGGATGTTACTTATAAGACTGCAGTTGAGTTGCTGCGATACATCTACACGGGTAGGGTTGTAAAACCAGGATTTCCTTTAGCAATGGATGTTTTAGCAGCTGCTGACAAGTATCAACTTGAAGAATTGAAAAGTGAGTGCGAACAAATAATAGGCTCCAATTTATCGGCTGAAAACGCACTAGACGTTCTAAGAGTTGCTGATAAGCATAATGCAAAATATTTAAGCAAAAAAGCTGCCGAATTTATAAAAGTTTTGTTCAGATCAGTACGATAAATATATATTTTAATACATGTTCAATTTAATTGTACTTACATGTTATTCAATTTAATTAAATATAATGTTACTATTTTAGTTTCGAATATAGAAAAAAAAATTCAATGAATAACGTCGAAATTTATTTGAACCTATCCATACGCAGAATTCGTACGTATAAACGAGTAAAAATGACGATTAGCGTGACATTAGTTAATGAAATTTAATTCTGTTCATTGGCAGCTCTTTTGCCCTCGGTAAGAATCGAGGATTCAGAAGTACACGTATATACTTCAAAAATAATTGATACGCTATCGTGTAAAAGTTGTCGTGTAACGACATACGATAGGAAAGAGCAAGATTATCTCGTATTTTGATGTATGATTTATGTATAGTTTCAAAACATATATTTTCGGTGCGCATAAAAATTTAGGTATTCTCACTGCTAATTTAGCGCAGTAATGGTAGCGTTTCTTTCGGAGCGTCTCGGAATTGAAAGCTCATCGTCAGATGTGTATACTAGTAAGCTTCGGCATGTGCCTCAGTTTCCTTTTCTCTCTCTCTCTCTATCTGTTCCAGCAACATACAGCGTATACGTACAACATTGTACAGTGCCATAAAGGAGCCTAGACGATTGTGCATTATGGGATGGATGCACGGCTAGCCGAGAGAGAAGTGCATCGTATACCGTTAGCTCGAGGATATATAGCTCGGTGCCGCGTTCACTCGCACTTGCGCGCCCAAGGAACACGTATACACGCGCGTACGTGTACGTACGGTTTTGCGGTGAACTGAAGCGAGTCTTTTTCTGGAATCGCCTGGGTGAGCTGCTATGTAAGACGTACGTGTGTGTGTCTGCATTTATAAAAGCCGCAGAGAAGACGAGAAATCACCTGGCCGCGCGTGTACATATATACTCGCAAAGCGCGAGTACAACGAACGGACGCGATATTGGCCCCGCATAGTCATCGTCCTCGTCCGCGTCGATGCTGCGCGCGCGATGACGACGACGACGAAGAGTAGAGAAAATACGTCATTAATTCGCTGCAATTCGAGTGTACACACGCGCCAAAGACTTTTCGATATATATATAGCCTCGTCGGTCGGTCGTCGCGTGTGCAGTGCGCAGTCAGTGGCGGAGCTTGTAATAATATTATACAACGTGTTACTGCAGCACGAAGTCACGGCGCTCCGAACTTTTTATATGCAATATATGTACACGGGGTGGAGGAGGAGAAAAAAGAGAAGAATCGCGGCGTAATTAGTTCCGCGATGCGCGCTCGCAGCTCGCCGTGAGTTCCGAGTCGCGCGCATCATATTCCTGTACACACGCACACGCACACACATGTGCCTCGTGCACGATCGCATGCGGTAGCTATAAGTTATATCACGGAGCCGCTGCTGCAGGTCTCGAGATAGCTGTTGTGCACTATATGCAGGATCTGTATATATGGGATATATCGCGTCAAATTGTTCTCCCCCTTGGAACAGAGTTTTTTGATTTTTCATATTTTATTCTGTTTTCCAAAGGTAAATATTAAAAAATGATTGAAACATGTTTTTTTGTAAAATCTGATGTCAAAAATCATATTCATAAACTCCAAGTACCTTAATTTTTAAATTTCAGCTTTAATGGCAAAAATAAACATGTTCGTATCCAGCGATATGGTCAATATTGTAATATGTTCATCGATACACCAAAATACAACTTCTGATAAATTTTGGTAGTTGGTACACAAATAGAATTCATTATTTAACATGATATGAGTCAAGAATAGAGGAAATCTAGAGAAAAACCATATTTTATTGGAACATAGGAAGGTCAATTATGCAGCCAGGAAAAGCCTTTTTCCAAACGAATGGAGCGATAACTGACCGTACTATACACGAGCTGCGTTAATGCGTAAGGGCTCGTACTACGGAAGCACAAAATAATCGAAATTACTCACGTTGTTGCCTTGCAGACGAGGCCAAGTACCACGCAGATATGACGCAAGTCGCCGAGGTTTTATGCTGCTGCGATGGAGATCTTCGGGTCTGCCAGGTCGTATAACGTATAACACTTTTTGGTCAAGTTCTTCATTTTCGAGTAAAAAAATTGAATTAATAAAATTTTGAATGAAATGAACCATGAATAGAGGCACTCGAACCGGAAAACAACCATAGATAAAAAAATTATGCAATGCAAAAAATAAAAAAGTATTAAAAAGTTATAATTTTCTAGGCTCGTAATCGTCATAATTGTGCCGTTTGTTGACAAATAGAAGTAGATAGTGAAAAACCCCTTAAAGGAAATTGGGCACAAGTGGCGTTTGCTCGTAATCATCATGAAACAGCCCTTCAGAATAGTCGCTGAGATTCCGCTTGCGACGGATTGGAAAGTCAAGGCAGACTTAAACATCGTTTCTTTTTTATCAAAAACCATTAAACGATTCTCGCAAAGATGTCACCTGCTACAAGTTCGAGAAGAAATTTGGACAAAATGGGACACGACCTGAACTACAAATGACAGTACAGAAAAGTCCCAAAGATTACGCATGTGACAAGTGAAAGAAGACATTTGGAACGACTTTCGTGATCCAAACGGCTTCTCACAATTGTTACATGCGGAATCTCTGCGACTCTTATGTAAAATCATTTATAGCTCAAGACGAGTCCCAAATTGCCCAAACCTCTTCTCGTACTTGCAACATGTGACGTCTCCACGAAAATCGTCAACTGGTTTTGAATATAAAAAAATGATGTTCAGTTCTAAATTTCCTTACAATACGTCCCAGACACCATCTCAGCGACTATCCAGGAGGACTATCTCTCGATGAGTGTAAGCAAACACCACTTGTGCCCAAGTTCCCTATAGATACCACAGCCTCTTGCCGGGATACTCCGAGCTGTCTTATCGATAACACGTGGCCTTATGGGAGAAAGTCTTTTCCTGGCTGACGCGAGCAAGTGGGTCNAAGCGGAATCTCAGCGACTATTCTGAAGGGCTGTTTCATGATGATTACGAGCAAACGCCACTTGTGCCCAATTTCCTTTAAGGGGTTTTTCACTATCTACTTCTATTTGTCAACAAACGGCACAATTATGACGATTACGAGCCTAGAAAATTATAACTTTTTAATACTTTTTTATTTTTTGCATTGCATAATTTTTTTATCTATGGTTGTTTTCCGGTTCGAGTGCCTCTATTCATGGTTCATTTCATTCAAAATTTTATTAATTCAATTTTTTTACTCGAAAATGAAGAACTTGATCAAAAAGTGTTATACGTTATACGACCTGGCAGACCCGAAGATCTCCATCGCAGCAGCATAAAACCTCGGCGACTTGCATCATATCTGCGTGGTACTTGGCCTCGTCTGCGAGGCAACAACGTGAGTAATTTCGATTATTTTGTGCCTCCGCAGTACGAGCCCTTACGCATTAACGCAGCTCGTGTATAATTATAATAACTTTTATTGCAGTCTAAAATCAAACTGTTTACAGCATTTTATAGGAGTTTAAAATTTTTTTAGCAGAAACGATTTTCGAATGTAACTAAAAAACATGCATGATAGTGCGTAGAATCTCGCGACGTATACGCATAGATAGCACATACGTATTCTATGTATTATCGTACGCATATAAGCAAGAGAGTGAAAGATATCTCAACGCAGTCAATGCCGTGAGCCAAGCTGACTGCTGCTGCTTATGCTGTTACATTGCCTCGTGCGTATACGTAAACACAGACATACGCGCGTGCGAGAGCGAGAGAGAAAGAGATACGCGCGTCGAGTCTCGGTAGCGGGCAACAGCAGAAAGCAGTTCTGTAGCTGGCGCGGTAGCCAATCACAGCGCGTAGCGCCAACCGACGCTGTATAGGTAGTTCTACTACCAAAGTTGCGCTCGCTCGGACGGACGGACGCTCGGTTTTTACGGGTTTACCCCTGTACTGACACCAAACGCGAATATAGATGTTTCACATCAAAAGAGGGGGGGACAGTTGACGCGATTTAGCCCATATATAACGCGCTTGTACGGACGCGGGGGAGATCGCGTTGAAAAAAAATCAAAAGTATCGACACCGCAGCTGCCTGAGTCTGCGCGAGTACCCGCGATTTTTTTTCTCGAGTATTTACCGATACCCGGCTATTCCCGATATTCAGCCGATCCTGTAGCTAAATTAAAAAAGTACGCGGACAAGATTGAAAATGATTCAAATCGTATATAGTCGAGTTTATTCGACAAGTGTAATTTTCGTTTTACAAAGTGTTTTTTTAATTGATCAATGAAAATATATTTTAGTGTAAAGTGACCGGATATTGATGAAAAGGAATTCTTCAAGTTTCTTATGCCAAATAAATAATGAAATTGTATGTCATAATTTTACATGAAAAATGGTTCTCAGTACCCTGAAGTTCAAATAAAAGGATTCAACTACGAATGCCGAATTCCAGTTATCCTATTTCTTATGAAAATTTGATTTTTCGGGTCAATAATTTTTTTCGAGTTTTTGTCTGCGATTAAAAGTGTTTGAAAGTTTACCTCAAACTATTGGTTTTGTTAGTAAATTTTGTTGTTCTGCAAATAAAGTTTCACAAACCCATAGTACTTATCACAGTTTTATCGTAGATATTATGGAGAACATTTATTATAAATGATCATGGTATTATCAATGAGAAAATCCAATCGTTTTTTTTTTTCAAATTTATTTATTAAATAACATTAGACATAAGATACATAACTACGTTCTTCCGGGATCCCCGGCAGACGATGTGCAGCGGCGTCGCGCCCTCCGCGTTGACTATCGACGGGTCGGCTCCCTTACCGAGCAAAAACTCGATCAGGTCTCTGCTGCTGTCGGCGGCGGCGGCCACGTGTAGCGCCGTATTGCCCTTCTTGTCCCGGGCGTTCACCCGCACCTGACCGTCGTACCGATCGAACACGATCTCCAGCAGGTCCCGGCGGTGTCTCTCGCAGACGAGATGCAGCGGCCAATAGAGCAGCCTTCACGCAAATATTGCGCAAATCTTGATTGCTCGGCGAGTCTCCGATTATCATCTTGAAGAATTGGTCGGACAAGCGGCCTCGAGTCAGCTCCGCGAAAGCATCCAGCGCCCATCGCATTAAAAATTCCCTCGCCATCCTCTCGAACAGATCCACCAGGTAGATGCTAGCCCTCTTGTGGAAGAGCTCGCGGAATTTTTCCGATCGCACCAGCTCGAAGAGGTCCGCGTGAGTCAGTGCTCTCGGAAGCTCCTCGGCCCGCAACCGGTGCGCGTCGTAGAGCGACAGGCTCGGCTTTATCATGATCGATTTTCCCTTTCTCGCGAACCAGCCCTCGTTGTACCTGTAGCCCGACGACAACGACCACGACTCGTCGAACAATCGGTGCCTCGAGAAAAATTGCACGATGGCTCGGGTCGCGTCGCGCTTCAGCTCGTATCCCCTCGTCTCCAGGTGTTCGACGCAGCCCAGAGCTCCCGCGACCAGTCTGAATCTCAAACTATTGGTCTCGTAGCCGACGCAGCGTCGAAATTTCCGGCCAAAAGTCTGGGTGGGGAAAACGAAGCTCGACACATCAGCGCCGTGATTCAGGAGCAGCTCCACGGCCCGCGGCGAGAGACTCGCCACGGCCAATTGGAGCGGCGTTCGACCCAACTTGTCCCGGACATCGACTTTTACCGTCCGATCGAAGTCGTCGCTGATCTCGAACAGCAGCTCCAGCAAGTTTTCGGCGTCGTTTTCGTTATCGAGGCAAATTTGCACGGCCGTCAGTCCTCGGGCGTTGGTCGTGTTGGGGTCGGCGCCCCGCCTCAGCAGCGCTTCGACCGAGCTTCCGGCGCCACAAGACAGAGCCAAGTGCAGCGCTGCGTTGCCCCACATATCCCTGCCGTTGACCCTAACCTCGCGACCCATCTCGTCGCAGATCCTAAGAAACATCTTCATCGAGTCCTCGTAGTAGCGGTCCTTGCTCATGACGTGCAGAGGCGTCTCGCCCGCCTCGTTGACCTGGTTCGGATCGGCGCCTCTCCGCAGCATCATCTCCGTGGCCCTCTGGTTGGCCCACACCAAGGCCAGGTGCAGCGGCGTATCGCCCATCTTGTCACGGGCGTCGAAGCGCAGCCGCTTGTGCAAATCGTCGCACATCGTGAAGAACGCCTCCACCAGTTGGGGGTCGCGGTATCTCTTGCAGACGAGGTGCACCGGAGTGGCGCCCTCCTCGCCATTGGCCTCGTTGGGGTCGGCGCCTCTGGCCAGCAGCAGCCTCACCAGGCGCTTGGCGTCGGCGCGGCCACCGAACTGCAGCGCCAGATGCAGCGGCGCGTTGCCCTCGTCGTCGCGCGCCAGCAGTTTCTTCTTGTCGCAGCGCTCGAACAGCATCCGGGCCGAGTCGACGTCGCGATATCCCCGGCAGACGATGTGCAGCGGCGTCGCGCCCTCCGCGTTGGCTATCGACGGGTCGGCTCCCTTACCGAGCAGAAACTCAATCAGGTCTCTGCTGCTGTCGGCGGCGGCGGCCACGTGTAGCGCCGTATTGCCCTTCTTGTCCCGGGCGTTCACCCGCACCTGACCGTCGTACCGATCGAACACGATCTCCAGCAGGTCCCGGCGGTGTCTCTCGCAGACGAGATGCAGCGGCGTCCGGCCCTCCTCGTTGGCCAAATTCGGATCCGCACCTGCCCTCAGCAGCAGCTCGACCAGCTTCCTCCACGACTCGCAACTATCGTTATAATTGCGCAGCAGCGCCAAGTGCAGCGGCGAGTTGCCCTCGCGGTCTCGATCGTTCATCCGCACCGGCTTGAACTTTTGGTCGCTGAACTCCAGCAGCGCCTCGATCAGCTCGACCTCGGGATTCTCCCGGATCATCGTCATCAGCGGAGTCTCGCCCTTGGCGTTGGCCAGACTCGGGTCGGCCCCGCGGCGTAGCAGCAGCTCCATCGTCTCCCTGCCGGCCTTGCGCAGGGCCAGATGCAGCGGCGCGTTGCCCTCCGTGTCGCGCTCGTTCATCCGCACGGGCGCCTTCAGTCGCTCGCAGCGGCCGAGGAACGAGCCGGCCAGCTCGTGGTGATCCTCGCAGATGTGGTGCAGCGGAGTCGCGCCGCGGGCGTCCACCGCGTTCGGATCAGCGCCCTTGTTCAGCAGCAGCTTCAGGGCCTTCCGGTGTCCCCCGCGCACCGCCCAGTGCAGCGGCGTCGAGCTGTCCTCGTGATCCCGGGCGTCGATGCGCAGCTGCTGCCCGCGGCCGAGCTGCTTGAAGAACATCTTGACCAAGCGATCGTCGCGGGTTCTCGGCTGGTTCATGGCGTGCAGGGGTGTCTGGCCCCGCTCGTTGGCCGCGTTGGGGTCGGCGCCCCGCCTCAACAGCCACTCGGTGGCCCTCCTTCTGCCGTTGCGCAGCGCCAGATGCAGCGGCGTGTCGCCCCACTTGTTCCGGGCGTCGAGCCGCGAGCTCTTGCTGCCCTTCGAGAGTACCATCTTCAGGATGTCGTGGTCGTCGTCGTATTTCTGGCAGGCGATGTGCAGCGCGGTCTCGCCCTCGGCGTCGGGCTTGTCGAGATCGGCGCCCGCCTTGAGCAGCAGCTGGACCAACCTCTTTTTGCCGTGGCGCAGGGCCAGGTGCAGCGGCGTCTGGCCCAGCTTACCTACGGCGTCGACCTGCAATCGTTTGGCGTACTTGATCAGCGTCTCGGCCAACTCGACACCCACGTCGTCGTTTCTCTCGCAGACGACGTGCAGCGGCGTCTCTCCTGCTGCACCGACTAAATTGGGATCCGCCCATCGTGTCAGCAGCTTCTTGGCCATCCTCTTGTCGTCGTTCTTCAGAGCCAAGTGCAGCGCTGTGTTGCCCTCCTTGTTTCGGCGGTCGACTCGAAGCCCTCTGCCGGCCCGCTTGAGGAATAACTTGGCCAAGTCTTCGTCGGCGGGACTCACCCGGCACACCACGTGCAGAGGAATCAGTCCGTGCTTCTCGGCCTTGCTCGGGTCGGCCTTTCGTCCGAGCAGCCACTTGGCCACGTCCAGGTAGTTGTTGCGCAATGCCAAGTGCAGCGGCGTTTTGCCCTTCTCGTCCCGAGCGTCGATCCGCCCCGCCAATTGTCTCCGGTTCAGCTCGTTCAAGCGCTTGAACAGCGTCTCGGTCAGCTGGGGCGTGAACCTTTTCTCGCAGACGACGTGCAGAGCCAAGCTCGGATCAGCGCCCCGTCTCAGCAGCAGCTGGACCATCGCCGTGTCCTCCTCGACGAGGGCGTAGTGCAGCGGCGTCTTGCCCTCGCCGTCCAGCGCGTCGACTTTCGTCGGTCGTTGCTCGTTCACAGGGTGATCGAACAGCAGCCTCTCCGTGACGTCGACGGGATACCTCATCTGGCAGACGAGATGCAGCGGCGTCGTGCCCCTCCAGTTGCAAACCGCGAGCTCGGCGCCGTCTCGGTCCAGCAGCAGCTTGGCGAACTCGATGTTTCTCTGGCGGAGCGCCAGATGCAGCGGCGTGTTGCCCTCTTCGTCGACCCGACTCTTGATCGCCAATGGCTTTCGTTCGCTGCGGTCCCCGAAAAACTTCTCGAGCGATTGGCTGTCGCGATATCTCCGACAGACGATGTCCAGCGGCCTCTCGCCCTTCTCGTCGGCTGCGAGCGGGTCGGCGCCGTTCTGGCGCAGCAGCAACGCGGCGAACGACACGTTGCCGTGCCTCAGGGCCAAGTGCAGCGGAGTCTCTCTTTTTTTGTTGGCCAATGTCGGATTGGCGCCCCTCGACAGCAGCAGCTCGGCCGACTCACTCCCTGGATTGATCAAAGCCAAGTGCAACGGTGTATTGCCCTCCTTGTCCCGGGCGTCTACCTGCATCTGCCAATTTTTCTCTTCGTCGATCTCGAACAGCATCCTCACGAAGTCCACGTCGTAATTTCTTTGACAAACTATATGCAGGGCCGTCATTCCATTCTTGTTGTCATAAGTCGGATTGGCATTGCCGCGTTTGAGCAGCATCTCGGCGACTCGCCGCCTATCGCGCAGCAGTGCCAGATGCAGCGCCGTGTCCCACGTTACCGGCCACGTCTGATCCAGCAACCAGAACGGATCGAAGCGCTCGAGGAAGCTCTCGACGACGCCGTACAGGCCGTACTCGCAGGCCACGTGAAAATGCGTTAAGCACGTCGTGTCCTCGTGGTTCGGCCCTTCGTAGATCTCGAACAGTCGGCTCATCACGCTGTCGACGTTGCTATCATCGGGGGTTTTGCTGCGGCAGTCCTCGCAGCTCTCCAGGTGATCGCGGTGCTGTGCCCTCAGGTAATGCACCGCGGTGGTCCCGACTCGACGATTTCGCACGTCCTTGTAGCCGGTCGAGATCACGAAGTCGACGATGGGACATTTTATCGAGCCGTGACCGGTGAAGCTGGAGTCCTTGCGGACAAGAAAGTCGATATCGTCGGACTTAAAGATGTCCCTTAAATCGGGAAGTTGTCCGTGCCAGTTCTCCACCAGAAGATAGACTTCGCGGTGAAACGCCTCGCGCTGGTTCTTCTTGTCCCAGTCGACCCTGTCTCTCGACTGCTTCAATTTTTTCGTGCAGTACTGCTCGTCGTCGCCTTGGGCCATCGTTGTATCGCACACTTTTTTCACTACTTTTCACTGAACAAAATCACGGATCTTCGCTTGTGCTCTCGTGTATACGTGCACACACTACGGCGTCGTAGCTTTTACTGAACGCCGGAAGGTCTATAATTGTGGAAAATACAGAAACACGTGCGCCGTGAAATTCGAGTATACTGCGCCGGGGAGCTGCACATGTGTACAGTCAAATTCGGCTACGACCGTGTTAGACTGATATACTTTCACTTTCTAATAACGAGAACGAGAAACGAGATTACTCGGACGACTACGCATGCACATATGCACATACTGATACGTGTCGTTTGTACACTTGGATTTCGGATGGACGAAGTATAATAGCTGCGCACGCATATAAATGATTCATCGAATTTTTGTGTTCGGAGCGATCGAGAGAGAGAGAGAGAGAGAGAGAGAGCAGCTACCGGAAATTAGACCGAGTTCAATCTATACACTTATGCGTCTGTGTGTGTCTGTGTCTTGGGTTAACTCGTCTCGAGTGATCGATTCACACCTCCTCGAGGAGAAAAACACTTTCGCCTCGAGGCTATATTATATATATCATACAGAGCGACGTCTCGTCTGCTCATTGCGGTGCATTTAAGGTATAGTTCCCTCAGAACCTGACCTACAAATTCGAGCACATGTCTAGAAAAAATCTGAAAAAATTCATACGCTTTCCTTAACAAATTCTAAGACTCTTTTGTTCTTTTTAAATTTTTCGTAGAGTTCATACTAATTGAGATAAAAAATCGCAAAGATTCATTGCTTGAAATTGTTTAAATTTGAATCGTTTATAGCTCTTGAAAAATAGATTTTAGAGAAAATTTGCAAGAGCACTTTTTTGTTTAAAATGACCCTAAAAACCTTAAAAAGTGAGTTTCAGGTTAAAAAGTTAAAATTTTTATTTTTGCCAAGTTTTTACATCAACTTTTCTCAAAAACTTTATGGTCAAGTTTTTCCAGTTTTTGAGCTATGTTTCACTACATACTGAACAATCATCTCCTAGTTTTTGAAAAGATTTTATCGATGGGTTTTTTTATAATCACACAAAATAGTGTATTTTCGACACACTAGCATAGGGATCGCATGTTAAAATAACGAACTTTGATTAATTATATTTAGGAAATTGTTTGGTTAAAGTTACTAAAATTTCTCACATATATCAAAAGCACTTTCAATAATATATGGTTATCGATAGTCATTTTTTTGAGGAAACTACTTTAACACACGTGTATAGGGCATTCAAGCTTGCCAAAGATAGAGATTATAAGCACGGGGCTCTCTCGAGCTTAAAAAAAATTGGTGCAATTACAAGCTCGACCACGTTGCGTATAGAGCAGCAACGGGGGGACACGTCTTCGAATCATATTATTGGATGTAGTATATAATAGGCGCACTTATTGCACTGCTGCTGCTGCGGTGCGTCGTCGATTGGCCGAGCTCTCGCGATACGCGTATTATTATATATATAGTAGTAGGCGTGCAATGAACGAGAATCCGTAGAGTCAAGCAGAGTCGAGTGGAGGCTGTGGGAGTAGCTGCGCGCGCGCACAACAGAGGCAACTATGCGCCGCAGCGAATAATATATACTAAATGTGTCGTTTGCTACACGAAATGTGTATACGTCGTACTATATAGCATCCTCGGAATTTCTCGGGAATTACGTAGTATATATGTACGTGTATTACATTGTAATAATAAGACGATCGTGATCGCGATGGAAAAATCATCTGGTGTGCCTCGTATATGTATTCGTGTCGGCAGTGCAATTTACATCCTTAACGAGCAAAAAAACGAGTAACGTCCCCCCGGTCGTAACGACGCGCGATAAAAAATCCATGCCACCTTTTTTACCTCCCTTCTTTCTCGCTTATATATACGCGCCGCGTTGAAGTTTGTCGCAATCGATCTCGACAAACGATTATAATCGCCGAGTGCGTTATACATATGTGCACGGACTTTATCCGCGTTTATAATAATCGTCGATATAAATAATCGGCGCTCGCGTTCGCGGCCTCGAGATATACTACGACATTATCATCGAAATACCGGACCAGAAGGACAGAGAAAAAGCACATTTATATGCATTGAGATACGAATATCTTTGAGTATAATATGTCCTATCGGTATCTCTCGGACAGTTAAGTCAGCCTAGATCTGTGAAATATTTCACAGGCGCAGCTGCGGGACTTTCCATTTTCATCTCGTTTGTATTTTAATCGAGTTCCGAGGAAAAAAAAAAACGCCCGACAACGTTCGATGTTGCTATAATGCAATCCTGTAACAGTACGACTACTCGATCAATTTAAGGTGATGCCTTGGCCACAATTTTTACCGACCGAGTACAGAAAATGTATATTGAAATAACTTTTTTACTAGACCGATTTTCGAAAAACGGCTCTGTGGAGCCCTCCGTATTGTTGCTGTGAATAACTGCACCAACTTTCAGCCAATTTCATCGGGTAGTTTTCCCGGAAAACAGGATCGAAATTTTTGATTACTGTTTGAAGGATAAAAAATTTTGATCCTGTTTTCGGGGAAAACTATCCGATGAAATTGGCTGAACTTTGTTTCAGTTGTTCACAGCAACGATACGGAGCACAGAGCCGTTTTTCGAAAATCGGCCTGGAAAGAAAGTTACAAAAATATACATTTTCTGTGCTCGGTTGGTAAAAATTGTGGCCAAGGCATCACCTAGAGAACGTTCATAATATTAGTTCACTTGTGAAGATCACTCTTAATGCCGAAACTTTGCTATTTCTCTATTGGTTCCCCCAAAAATTCGTCCCTACGCCATCTCGCGGTAAGTACTATAAAAAACTGATGCAGACGCGGGGCCGCCCTCTGATTAATAAATGCGTCGCGCTAACCGTCACCGCGAATTCGATCCGGATGTCAAGCTTTTTTTCTTCGAACTCCGAACTTCTCGTGAGTGCATCGTGTGCGCCGTTATAATATGCACGAAAGCTCGGCGTCGCGATTCGTGCTCGCCCGTCGATCAGCAGCGATCGTGCGATCGTTATCGAGCGTTACTCGACGAAATTGTATACACAGCTCGCGAGCGCGATGTGCCTCGTATTTTTTTTTTCTTCTCTTTCGATGAAAAATCCTCGATACGCACCGATCGTTTTTTCGACCGTAATTTTTTTCATTCGCTTTGCTCTATTGTAAAACTCGACACTTTCCCTCGTCGTCGCGAAGCTCGCACTTCCGATCGGGATGCATACTGCTAACAATGTAATCTCGCAAACGTTCGCATACAGTCGAATCGGCCAATCTGATATTACGGTTTACGCGCATACATTATAATGTCATTACATAAGCGCAGAGGAGCACTGCGCGGCTATATAGGATAATGCATTATTACGATCGAAGCGCATATGCGAGACAAGTGCACAGCGCGGCAACAGCTGGGATAAATCCGCGCTGTGCGCGTCGAAATGTCGTTATACATATATATAGTACGTGGCAGTGTCGAGCCCGAGAAGAGACATCGTTCGAGGCTTGTGTCCCGTTACAGGCAGAGCTCCGCTGCTGCTGCTGCTGCTGTTGCTGCATAGCGACGCGTAAAAGGATGTATATTATTGTACACAGGATGAGCTGCAGCCAGCCACTCGTTGCGTAGAGAAAAAAACAACTGGGAAATGATGAGAGATGCTAGTTGGAAAAAGGTATCGGTATATGTATATCGGTATGTATAAAGTCAACGAGTCGAAAGGCAGTTAGAATTCAAGCCATTGCATAATTGACAAAAAAATCTAATAAATTATCTGAAAAATTGAAAAGTGAAGCTCAGAGCTGAAACAATCAAATCTCGCAAAATGTACGTCAATACAGGCCGCGCGAGAAGCTCGGGCTTGCAGTGCTTAAATTTTTCATCGATATAAAGACTCCACAGAAATATAAATCTAAATGTGCGATGTGCTCGTTATTAAAAAAATAATATTAAATAAATAAATAAAAAGTATTCGAGCCGCACGTCATCGTCGCGCATAGATTCTCAGTAATACACGTGGTTGCAGATCAGGAAAAAGGCCATAACAATGAGCGGCGAGATCAGCCGATGTCTATATATAAAGTACATGCACTTGCGCGCTATTGTCCTTTGAGAAGTCGAGATCGGATCCTCGCTATATAGTTCCGCATGCGAACTCTCGTGTATACCGGAAAATAATGCGCATTGTTTTGGGCCGCGTAAACCGATCGGACGTGTATAATACACAACACGCGCGAAAGAGCAGGGAAATCATCGGATCTTAATATTCGATCGAATATGTACGCGCAGGAAAATCTCTTACTCTTTGCCATTGATTCTGTAGCGTGAACGATGTGATTTTTCAACAGCCACCATCGTATCTATATACGACAAAAAGAAGTCGATCGCGAAATGTAACGGCACCGCGCGGTATACACACGAGGAATGTCGATTCAACAGTGTATGCGGCGTTGTATCCGCGCGCTTCGTTCGATGCGGCTTTCTTCGCTCGATATTATAATATACAGCAAAAATATATAAGTAAAGCACTATTTTCGTTACTTTGGTATTTTCGCGGTCCGAATCCGCGCGGGGCAGCCCTATATATCCCATAATAGCTGCAGACGCGCGCGTGGAAAATGTATAATCATTTTTTTGCGCGAGATCGTAACAGAACTTGTGTATTATGGTTAAAGGGAGGGGGGTGGGGGCATTATGAGGATGTCGCGCGACAGGTGACTGCAGCGAAAGGAAAGTCGAGTGAGAACAGTTATGCGTGTATCCAATCGAGCGGCTGCTGCAGGAGGAGGACGACGCGACCGCTCGGTGAACGATGATGATGATGATGATGATGCAGCGGATCGCCAGCAGCAGCCAGCTTTTTCCATTATTATACAGCATCTCTGGACCTGTCTCGCGACGTCTCTATTATAATTGCGCGAGAAAAACGACGACGACCGCACGTGAAATTCTCATGGCGACGAGGCCGACATTTTTCAATATAATTATT